CCCCCCCTGACAGCTAGCTTCAAAATGGGAGTTGTTTCATTTCAGTACATAATTAAATGTTACTTGACCAAGGGATTGTTGCCGAAAACTTTCATAATGAATAGTGTTGGATGTAATTATGGTTTAGTGCAAAAAGACATGTGCCAAATCTTGACAAAGGTTCATGGGTTGGTTGTATTGGTAGTAAAGATGAAACAGACTTTTGATGATGTGCAGGACAATGACCAGTCTCCACGTCCAACTGTTGGGGGAAATCTGTCAATTTGCCCTTGCTCTTGTAGTTGTTTTGGTGTTCCTGTTGGCCACTCATGTCTTTCTGGTGCAAAATGAACTGTACAAGGGTTTTTAGTTTTTTTCAAAATCATCTAGATATATTTGGTCTTTATTTGAGCTTTTAGGTTTAGAATGTATCTCTTTTAAAAACTTAGTCACAGATTAATCATTCTTGATTGATAGTGAATGTGTTTTTCTTTTTATTGGTATGATTTCAAAGTCTTTCTGGGGTTAACGGCCCATCTCTCTTCGTTTTCGTTTGGGAAAATTGTCTTTACATAACAGTTGAAGAAGAACTGATTTCTCATTGAATTCCCCCTTGAAGAAAAAGGAAGCAAATAAAGAATCCAATTTCATTAAAAATCCTTGTAAAAAAAGTAAAAGGCTGTACCATCACACAGTACAGCCCAGAATGAAGTTTCTTATGCACTCTTAGTTCTTAGTTCCTATGTGCACAACTTGTTCTTAAGATATGGAAAGAGGTGTGGTGCCTTGATGGAAATGATAACAATCAAAATAAAGACAGCATTTACACAGGCTAGTGATATGTACGTCAATGTTAAATGATGTAGCTTACTGTGTCCAAGCAGCGAGGGCGGAAATGTACATTTATCCGACAGTTAGTCAAATTTCTATTTCGGTGTTATCCCCTGTGAATGATCGGAGGTCAAGAGACAAAAATAAGAGCTTCTAATGTCTTCTAAAAAATGCAGTATGATCATATAGCCAGACTGCTGTCTGTGCTGTTTCCCCAATTAGAAAGTCTTATTGTCTGAAAGTGGGCAATTTCTTTCGGCAGGGACGAATGTTGTTCGTCCTTCTCTTATGAAGATGAACATGACTTCACAAATTGGTCTGTTGACGGGGACTGTGGGTCCGGAGATGGCTGATTTGGCCTATCCGGGCTTGGAACGTTCGCCCACATTGTGGGCACGAGACGTCTGCTGTTGAACTTGTGGTGGAGGCAGATCTAGACTTGTGAACCTTGCGTTTTTGTTCGGCTTCAGCAATGCGCTTGGCTTTTTCTGCTTTGGCTACCTTCATTAGATTGCAGCACCATTCGGGACGATCTAAGTCTAAGGCCAGCGTTTCCCAAGAGTCGTTCAGGATTCCAAGTTCCTTTAGTGAGACTTTAAGGCTGTCCTTGAAATGTTTTTTCTGCCCTCCCCAACTGAGCGCTTGCCGTGAAGAAGGTCTCCAAACATCAAGGATGAATATATTATACGGCATTGTATAATTATGTCTCTTTTATTTCTTATCAGACATCTCTGGAAGAGTAACATTTTTAAAACTCAGTGACAACAATAAAGACCATTTTATTTTTTGTCTAGAGGTGGCAGGAGAATGATAAAATAAGAAGTCTGTCTTATTTTAGGTCATCATGATTATGCTAAAGCTTATTGTTTATTTGTGTAACTAAGAGTTTTGCAGGCTTTATGAAAATGTAATGTCCCACCTGAAAGTTGTCAAGTTTGGCCCAAATTCTAACAACTCTCCTCGCGAATAGTGAGGATACGTCTAGTGATGTCCATTCCCCTGATTTTAATTGTGAATGGTGCTGTCTACCTTTGGCTGTTGGGAGAATTCATGGATTCATGAACTCCTGTTTTTTATCTTCTGGAAACTTATTTTAAATGTTTTTAAG